CGCGGTTTTCAACCGTAGTATGTGCGTTTCAGACAGTTTTGCGGTTTGGAGGTTTACCGCTTGAGGAAAAAACCCGCCTGAAACGCACACACTACGGTTAAAAACTGCGAAACTGGCCATGATTTTCAGTTTGAATATGGATTCCAAGAAATGTATGTGTTGTTGCTCCAATACTAAGAAGCAGAAAAAATTTCGCAAATATTGGATCCATCCACCGACTGGCCAAAGATTTAAGGACGGTTTTTTTCATTGAAAGTATCAAGATTTAGGAAAAATCCCTGGAAAATTCTTTAACTACTATCAGATTTCAGTATCCAGTTTCGTCGAAATTTTGCAAATAATACGTCCACACATTACCTACATGAATACAACATTTCGCTTATGATTTCACCAGAAGAGCGGCGACTCTTTATGACGGTGTGCCGAATAATTACAGAACCGCCCGCGATTGCCGCGTCAAACGTGTGCGCTCCATTATAAGTTCTATGAACTAAAAATTTTGGCTGGTTTTTCCCGCTAGTCATTCTGTAATAAGTCGCGGTTTCAAAATCAGTGGCGGAAAAAAAAACGTCAGTGCAGATGCTTCCATTAGTTTCCTTTACTCACAAAATTTCAGTGTTTATATGAAACAAATAGTTGATTATCTCTTCGAAAATACAATTACACTCTGTATCTGTAGAGTAGGGAGGGTGAGTGTAGACCCACAGCACTTAGACCACATCCTCCCGAAGAGTTGTCCTCCTAGGACATCGTCCATTCTGTCCTTTACAGGAAGCTGGACAGGTCACTAGGAGACATCTCATTTATACTGGCAGGTGTAGGCCAAGACTCGCCGGAAACACACTCTCTTTGGCAACCTTGAGGTGTTTCACGGTGGCCTCCGCGAAGGTTTTGAAAGATGTAGCAACATTACTGTCGTTGTGCGGCTTCTTCAACCTTCTTGGGGTTCTCTCCGTGGAGGTGCACGAGTGAGAATCTTTCCTGCAGGGTCAGCCGGTTCCTTGGCTCAATTCAAGGTGGAGCTCTTGGCGCCCTCCGCAGGAAGTGCCTTTGCCGTTGGAGGTGGAGTGGTGGAGAAGGAGGGTGCACTTATAGTTGCTGCCACTCCTGCCTCCTTAGCTCTCTTTCTCATTTTGGCCCCGTCGCACCAAATGCGCTTACGCTTCATCACGAGGTGATCTGCTATGTCCAGCCTCATTCTAAGCGGTAGATTGGGGTGGACATTTCTGTTCATCGCCAGCCACCGCCTTAGATTGAGGAGAGCCCTTCTGTCTAGCTTCGGGATTGGTTTTTGTAGCAAGTAGCAAGGGCAGAGTTGACAGAGCTACGCATTACCAGAGATAGGCTGATTACAATAAGGTTTCGCCCAGTTCCCCAAGGGGATCGTTCGTAACCGCTGTCGGCACGATTCCTTACACCTTAGCTTGGGTAGGCTGGTCCACGGTAGCATGTTTTGCAAAGGCTTCTGGGGAGTTTTAGTTCCTCTCACCCTACTCATCTCTGCCACTGACCAGGAGTCCGGCGACCCCGTCCGTAAGGCCACATTGGCTTCCCGGACAGGACCTTCAGTCCCCTGGCCGTTCCCCGATCCGCTACCTGGGGACGCGCCTGATAGGTAGCCCAACCCACGGGTACAGTTACACTCACTACAGGTTGTGAACATCCTAAGGTTATATTTGTTTATTCACCGTTCGAATAGATTGTAATTATAGTTTGTATATTTTGCGTTGCTCAGGTCCTATTCTCGAAACCCCGATACATTCTTGAGGACGCGCCAGCTTTATCGACCAATAATCGCTCCCCATACCGTGGAATAGGGGATCATTGTGCCATGAGCAAGCGCATTGAGTCAAGTTTGACAGCCTTCTGCATTTGTCCAGTTGAGATTTCTGACTTGGTGCGGCAAGTCGGCATTACCTTAAGATTCGAGAGTAGATATAGCATCATTCCACCATGGACAAATATGGTCATGCCCTGATGGTCGAGAGAAACTACATCAGGCTCATTAGCTGAGGCTAAAAAAATGCATAGTTCCCCTTTACGAATTCAAAACTCCCCAGAGTGTAAGGCAACATCGGTGTCTCATCAATACCGTAAAAGTGCTGTAGGTGGTAATAAAACACTCTAAGAGACACGTTATGTCAATGGATATAGGCCTGACCTTCGCGTTCTTCAGTAAGTGCTAAGACCGCACTTGCTCTCGACCTGAAGGAAGCGAAGGTCGGCGCTTTGATTTGCCGAAGTCTTCAATGCTGTTGAAGAAGACCCCATGCATTAGCTCATCTTAGTGTTGCCGTAGGAGTGAAGTGATCTATGTGGCTTCCATATGAGCTTTTTGCTGAAAGGGTTCCAACTTGGTGACAGAGCTGTGATCAACTTGGTGACAGAGTTGTGGTCACCTCGTTCAGTATCGAAAACTAAACCGAGTTCATCAGCCGCTGGAGCAGCTGCCTTTATCTCATGGTCGCGGACTATGCAGAGAAGATGAATCCAAAGTTCACTTCCATTTCATCATCATTATCATTTCACAAACTTTTATCGTGTATGTCAATCAGCTGAAACTTATGAGGCACAACTCTTCTGAAATATATGACTATCAAATTATTGAGTTCAATGTATTCAAAATTGAATGTTTCTGTGGTAAAATAATGTTCTTTCCAAATCCTAATAATATAGTTTGTATCGATTCTCACTATGGAGGTTAACAAAACAGCGACACGTGTTCCGCTATACAATAGCTTCTTTATGGTAGAAATCACGGAGTCATATATTACTGACTTTTGACATCAATTTCAATCAAATATTGATCAGTTTCATTTGATATTTATTTTAATATTGCTTTATTACAGGGTGCACTGATTGGAGCCATCGTCAGCGCGATATGTATGGCTACTATAATAGGTGGAAACAGTTATTATAAAGCGAATGGTTTATTGCGGTATCCACATAAACCAGTGTCTGTCGAAGAATGTGATTTTTCTGGAAATACTACTTCATTCTCCAGGTAATAGTCTTTGATAGATGCACACTTAGATACATGAAAACTGATACAAACTCCTTTTGAACATTGAAAGTCGTAAACCATCCTCAAATATATGAAAGACTTCAACATCTTGAGAGATCATCAATATTGCTTTCGGAAACAAATATCACGCCGACCTTATTTCGTGTGCCAACCATATTTGGAAAAACGCAATCAAGAAACATGGAGAATCGAGACCGTGTGCGGCATGAGGGTTTGCTGGCCAAACTTCCATGCTATCATTTATCAGATCATTTTTCGGTGTGGCACTCCAGCTTCCAGAGAACGTTCCCTGTTGTTGCTGTTGACGAATATATCTCGAATACTTTCACCATCAACGCTGGGATATATATTGTCTCCAACCATATTTCTGTTTTATATCAACGACTCATTGAAAAAAAAAACAAGATTCCAATATATTGCTTTGCTGACGGCAGCACACTTGTCTCGTCATTCCATTTGCATTCCAGAACATCGGCTACGGAGGCACATCTTCACCGGCAGCAGGAGGTTGCATATCTCAATGAGGATCTAGGAGTGATTTCTAATTAGGGTGAAAGTAACCAGGTTCAATTCAATACCACAAAATCCCAGGCATCGGTTTTCTCCAAGGAGATAAATGTCTCCGAACCGGATATGATAATGCCAGGTCAGACGATTCTGCTTTAGCTTCGATAAGTTTGTTGGGGGCGCTGGAATTGCAAAGGCTGCTTCTCAAAAGCTTGGAACACTGTTCCGAACCAGAAAACTTCACATACTTCATCAAATGTTGATGCTTCATAAAGCTCACATAAAGCGACAGACTGTGGCTGCTCATCGTGACGGGGATCGACTCAGTACACCTCGAACTTCACTGTTAAAAACTGTCTCATCTGGAGAACTGCATTTATGTGGGATAAACTTCCTGAGAGGGTTTTTCCAAATGGATTTAATCTACAGCGAATCAAATTCGATGTGAATCGCTACTTTCGCACAGGCACCGCTCTGAGAGCGCCTCAAGGATTTTTCTGTTGTGCTTGTGTTTTTTCCTTAAAAAAATTACGAATCAAAATAATCATTACAATGGCTATTTGCTTTCATTATATGAATCAAATTGTGTACAAAACCAAAGTGATTTCCATCATATTATTATTTCTGTTTCCATGAATCCATTCCTGTTCCAAAATGAATGTCATCCTAATGAATCGTAGAATAGGATTGATGGATAAACTGATAAACTTTATCATATTTGCAACAAAAACCTTAGGTTCTTCACTAGCAACGCTACAGCATTCTCAACAGTTTCTTCACCTATATTGCCCACTATAGATTTGAAATGAGATGGTATTGACTCAACATTTTCATCTACATCATCTAACTCCGTTTTCAATTCATCTACCCATGCTAAAAGTCTTTCGATTCTTACAGAAACTATGTCGTTATATCAGAAAACTTGGTCGATTCTTTGTTATACGATGCTCCCTTCTCTGTAACTCGTCCAAATAGTACTCGGCGTTTTTTTCTGGAAAATAATTATTCACAATGGCGACTGCCTCTTCTTTTGAGGGAAATCTCTGTTCTCTGAGTGTAATTTTTAGACGAGGGAACAAAAAAAACTCGCTTCGGGCTAGATCTACTGAGTAAGATCGGCACCGCGCATTGGGGCCAATGTTGGCGCCAACTACGCTCGTCCAATGTGTGGATCGAGATTTATGGCCCGAAGACGTTGCAAAGGTGCCTGATGGTTTTACCACAGTATACTTATATACAGTAGTCCCACTTAGCGTCGGTCCCTTTGATGTTGGTGACCAGGAGTTTCAGTTTTTACAATGCTGACGTATTTGACACTAATGACATATCTCCCTACTACAATCTCAACTAAAGAAAGTAACCCAGATCATTTGGACAATGATGAACTGTGTTTCAAGTAGATTTTAAAAATTCATGGGATCGGCAGATGTTCATATTCGGATGTGACAAAATATATTTCCATTTCAACAAGAAAAAAGACAAGATGAAGAACGCGTTTTGTTATTCATGAACCATGGTACGAATCCACGCGAAATTTTTTTGTGGTGATTTTTGGGGCCAAATATAGAATATTCATTTATTGATTTGAGAATTCAAGATGCCGGACGAGTTTGCCGATTCGATTATATTAAGGGCCAATTATTAAAAATATTCCTAATCGAATTCATCACTCAAGATTTAAGAATCTGTAGAGCATATTCTTTTTGAATTATGTAATACTATTTAGGCTTGAAGAAGTAAAAAAGTATTATGTAGTGTTCAATCATACAAAAATATTTTTTTTGTATGTATGTACTAACTATAAATGTATGTGAGAGTTTTCGGAGTCGGAAGTTATGAATTATTTACACCGTATGATAATTAATAGATTGTTTTGCTGTTTTCAGCTTTTACCCAAGTAAAAATTTCCAATAAAATCACTGACAAGCCTATATGCATTTCGACTATACCTTCATATATGTTTTCTGACAGAAAACAACTACTTCTTCAGCTGATAACTCGACATATATTGAAACTGTACAATTGATATTGGAATCAATACAGGTGTAGATGTCTAATCAACCCCGAAACGTTGCTGTGTTAATTGAAAACAGTTATTCTGAATGAAACATGTTCTATTATTCAGCAACTTCTTATATAATGTAAATTTGACTATCAAAAATACCTAACGACTGGTAACGTTTCGGAATCCAAGTCTTCTCAGACATAAGTACAAAGATTCTCACTTTGGAGAAACAACTTTGCAAGAGCTCTCTAGGACAAATAGTAGGACTTCGCCTGATTCGAACAAGTAACCAACTGCGGACCGTTTTGAAGTGTTCCTTATCAGTGCAGACCATGCTATCACGGTTGTTATACACACAGGGTCTCGGTATTCCTCCTAGAGAGCTCTTGCAGAGTACCATGGTTCATGAATAACAAAACTCGTTCTTCATCTTGTCTTTTTTCTTGTTGAAATGAAAATATATTTTGTCACATTTGAATATGAACATCTGTCGATCCCATCAATTTTTAAAATCTACTTGAAACATAGTTCATCATTGTCCAAATGATCTGGGTTACTTGAATATTACACAAATGTAAAATTATCATTTGTACCATTTTCTCAGGTGCCCAACATGGTTTTCATCGACTGTATTTTTTTGAGCAGTTTATATGAATAGTTGTTATGTTGAGCAGTGTTTAGACGGTTTGGTTGCGTGCCTGTCTTGAACTCGTCGTTTGCACAGACCTGAGACTGCAACTCCTGGGTCTGTGTGTAGAAAAGTCGAACCAAAATTCACCCGAAGTGGGATGACTGTATATAGTAGTGTTGTTTTACTTCAACTCTCTGCGCGGCATTAGCTGGGTGGGTTGTTACCTGGCTGATTTCACTAATTCGACAAGCTCCTGCAATCCCAAATACAACAACAACCTTGGCCATTAAAATAAACTTCATCGGGAGCATTATTCAAAAAGTCACTAATATGTGCAGTCATAAATATCGCAGCTTTCTTGGGCGTATAACCTTTCCCATTTTATTTCAGAAATGTAATTAGTTTGAAATATTTTGAAATGTCTACATTATTATTGGACATACTTTTAATCAATAACACCGTCCCCGAGAAAGAACTGCATATCTGTTTCATCTTTCACTCCATGAATCTTGAATACGCGGTTTCATAAATTTTCCGCGATTTATCTGACAATAATTTTTGTGACGCTACTTTCGCTGCTTCTACTAACACCGGTGGAGTCAGAGAAAACTCCGAATCAGACATTTTTTAAAATAAGTACTGACCACTATGTTCGCAATTTTTAAATCAAATCACAGAATGACATGAAATATATTAATCATGCAAAACAACGATAAAAATAAAATAAATACAACAATAAAAATTAACAGAGACTCCGGGCCATAAACACCAAAAGTTTCAACCGCTACTGGATGGAACAGATAGTTGTTTCCAAGATTTTGGTATTTTTTCCTTTTCAATTTCTCGCCAGACAATGCTGCAGTTCCAGCAGAATTGGAACTTTCGGCTAGATGGGAAGCCGCGACCGTGTCAACAGAATTGAATTGACATATTTGATTTTCTATCGATTGGTTTCCTAGCAACGCTATAAATACAACAGCCTACCTGTTTAAAAATTCAAATTTCACATCGATAATTTTCTGACTTCAACATATTGTAATAATATGTTTTTTTCAATATTGAATCGTCGTTTTTCCCGTCACAAAAAAAATTGTGTATTATACACGGGAAAAATATTAGATTTCAGCTCTCGGTTTTTTTCCTTCTATAATAAATAACTATTTTCAAATGAAATAATCAGTGATATATACTCTGTGGAGTGGTTGGTTGAATTTAAAATCTTTGTTTCAATCGAAAACTTGAGCAACTTCCAATTTTTCATCACATCTGTACATTAAAATATTATTTTACCATAATCATAGGGTCGTGCTCTGCACTGTTACTTTGTTGTTAACAGAACCCAATTTTATATCAGTAACTCATTTATAAAAACCTTTTTTCATTTTTTCAGCATACCCACTGAAACTTATATCTTCCCAGTCTTCAAAATATCTTTCTATTGGTTTTCGATGATCGGGGCATCCATTTGCATGATCGTTGGCTTGGCAATCAGCTATATGTCAGAAGAAAAACAACCACCTGTTGCAAAAGAACTCTTGAGTCCTATCATTTATGGCCTTATAGATGAAGAGACATACATAAACAAAATGAACCTCGATTATTGCAGTGTAGAAGATGCTGCAGGTAAACATGATTCGAGAAGGAGGATGTCCTCAAAGTGGGAAGCAATGAGAGAAGAGAGGTTGCGAAAGATTTCTAAATTATCTACCCTATCCGACAATATTGATATCTGAGTTATTCAAACTAAACAGACTCATAAATTGGGAAATATTTGATTATCAGTGATAGTTTTTGATATTCCAGCTTATTTTTTCAATCATGACTTTGGGAGAGTTTACTCACAAAAATGCTAGCATGGAATTTCAGTAGTTTATGTTTTCAACTTATTATTTCAGTATTCACCATTTAGGGAGTGAGAAATCAAGGGTGTGTAGACTGAAAACCGTTCCATCAGATATATTTTTATGTGGATAAGATGAATTAATACGAAAATAATCGAGGAATAATCATTTTTCAACAATTGAGGAGTAGATATTTTATTGTAGCGACTTTTCTCCGTTGATAACAATGCCTCTAGGCATTATCAATAATGTTCAGACATGTAACTACTCCGAACCATTTTCAGAAAACCTATTCCTGGATCATTCCAAAAGTGAGGATATTATTTTATTTTTTATCGACCTTTTTTTTGGGTAATTGTTACCTTCCACAATCTGAAAAAATATAAAAATTATAATGGAGAACTTTATACAAGTGTAGAAGGAAAAAAAAGGTCGATAAAAAACTGATTTTTTCCTCCACAAAAAATGACTTTCGTTGAATATTATTTTATTATATTAATAAATGAGTAGCAACATGCAATTATTTGGGACTAGGTTGATTTATATTTTTTCAGGTTTTTCTCGATGTTATTGTGAGTGATTAGGAATATATCTTTTTTGCTAACAATGTAGTTTTATTAAATTGGCAAGGTCCAATGAAGAAAAAAAAGGTGGATTTTCAACTCCAAGTTTCATGTTGATTCAGAAATTTATTACATTCATTTCATATGTATAAATATGTGAACAAATGATCGATGTCTATAGCACTTTCGGAATTATATCAATTTCAACATATTTTCATTTTCACTTGAACAACGAATACTCCATATTATTAGGGTGAGGGGAAGTAAAATTCCCAAAGCCATTGCAAAATATGCCACCGTGGACCAGCCTACCCAAGCTAAGGTGTAAGGAATCGTGCCGACAGTTGAATGGCCACAGGGTGATATGAGGTTACGAACGACCTGTTGGGGAACTGGGCGAAACCTCATTGTATTCAGCCAACTGTGGTAATGCGGGGCTCTGCCAGAGGTACTAACTCTTCCCTTGCTACTTGTGGGAACACACATGAATGAAACAAACACAAAAACAGAGACAAAAAAACAAAAACCAATCCCGAGGCTGGACAGAACTGCTTACCGCAATCTAAGGCGGTGGCTGGCGATTAACAGAAATGTCCACCCCAATTTACCGCTTGGAATGAGGCTGGACATAGCAGAAAACCTCATGATGTAATACAAAGGCCAAGGCGTAAGCGCATTTGCGGTGCCAAGGTCAAAAGGAGGAAGAGAGATAAGGAGACAGGAGTGGCAGCAACTATATATGCTCCCTCCTCCTCTTCCACTCCACCTCCAACAGCAAGGGTACTTCCTGCGGCGGGCGCCAAGAGCTCCACCTTGAATAAAGGCAAGGAACCGGCTACCCCTGCAGGAAAGCTCCCTCTTTCGTACACCTCCACGGAGGGAGGTGTACGAAGAAGTCGCGCAACGACAGTAATGTCGCTGCACCCTCCAAAACCTTCGCGGAGGCCGCCTACACCTGCCAATATAAAGAAGATGTCTCCTAGTGACCTGCCACCTTCCTGGAAAGGACATGATGGACGATGACCTAGGGGAACAACTCCTTGGGGGGATGTACAATGGGTCAAATGTGGCTTAAGTGCTATGGGTCTACACTTACTCTCCCTACTCTACAGATACAGATACATATTCCATATTATCATGAAAATTATGAAGCTGCAATGTTTGGTAATTCAATTTCAATAAGTGTTTCGAAATGGGAATATTCTCAATTCATAAAATATTGAAATAATTTTCACTTGAAAGAATCGATTGCAGCTAGAGAAATGGTTCTGATACAGATTCTGTGAAACACGTTCTTTCTTACGGATCAGTTGACAGTTATTCTGAAAATCTTGGGAAGAAAATTGAATCAGATAATTAAGGAAAGACCTGCTACATGAATAGCATTTTTGAAGTGTTGTTCATGACGGAGTATTGTAAGAACGAGGTTTGAACAGAGAACGAGTACGTTCTTTCACCAAACAATTGTTCATGCAGTTGCAGTTTCGTAAGAACGTACTATCTTTCCTACCAACCGATTTCCTGGAGTCTTTGAAGTCCACTAGATACTCGTTACGACAAAAAGACGATTGCTTCGAATTTTTGGGGTTTTTGTTGAATACTGTTCGTTAGCATAAAAATACCAGGATCAATACTCCTGACTGCTCTGGATTGAATGATTCAGTACAGTCGATCTCGTCTCGTGTTTGAAGATCTTTTGCTGGAAAAATCCTCACTTGTTTACCATGTAGTAAATATTCAAGAGGTGGCAGAAACGTATGTGATTTTCTGGAACTTCAACTAGCGTTTCCCATTATGACTAAAAACCAGTTCGTACAAAGCTTATTGTCAAATCATCTGAAAATGGAAATTCCAACAGATAATGATCGACTGACTGTCATAAGAAAACAAGTATAGCTGAGGCACCAGTCAATCTAATAACACTGATGATCTTCAAACAAGATTCAACCTCTGATGGAAGCAAGAAACTATTATGAAATTTCGAAATAGATGACCACTTCAGTCTAGCAGACCACCATCATAATCCTCATGCAGTCATTGTTTACTATGGTTCTGGTGTTGAATCTGGTCATTATTACGCATTGGTCAAACACGAAACGGATTGGTTCAAGTTTGATGATATCCGTGTAACCAAGTGTTCTGGCGATGTCTTGAATTTATTGGAGCCTCTGGAGACATCCTACATTTTGTTTTATGAAAGAGAGAACATTGGCAGATCAAGATCTTTAGATAATGTGGTGCTGCAGGTTTTTCCGGGTTTTCCTGCAGCTGAAAAAGCAAATGCGCCACTGGAATCAATGAAGTCGCCCTAGAGTGCCAATAATTTTTATATGTTGTTTCATAATTTCATGATTTGTATTACTTTTTACATCATCAACAATGTCACATGATTCGTAAAGTGATATGGCGTAGCAAGGTGCCTTTTGCAGAAGTTCAAAAAGAGTGTTTTTAATGTCCGCAGCTAAAATTTCAGTTCTTCGTGTATTACTTCTCGTTGACAATGGAATACTTTGAATTGCAGCGACAACATCTTTTTTTTCTCCAAAAAGTGACGTCACTACTGCCAACATTCCTTCACTATCTCAGAATCTGAAAATGGTTTCTGGTGTTTATTAGGCGTCCAGCACACACGTAACGCTGCTTCTGTGGATTTTTTTTGGTCGCTCATGCAACGAACTAGTAATTTTGTACTCTTTTCGTAAGAATTGAGATATGTCTCAATTTTTTCTCTACGAGCCTGACTGCCAAGAGGAAAGTTTTTGTGAAATTGCTGATGAGTTGTTTCGTAGTGTCACTTCAAATTTCCACCTTCAACAATAGCGACAATTTTACTGCATATAAGGCACACTGGGACCATTTGGGGCCTATCAGGCAGCGTAAAACAATATCCATTCTGCCACAAAACATTATAATTTCACTATCGACTTTTCGTTTTTCGGGATCCATATCAACGTAGGTACAGAAAGATTTTGGTTCAAACGAACAAAAACGACAGAAATCATAAAACAAATGTGCTGCAGTTGATGACTGACAGTCTGCTTTCAGTGCTTTTCCACTCCCTCACTAGCGATTTCGATACGCACTCGTGCTTGTTTCAACAAAACAAAACAAGAGCAAGCACGCTATGTGCTATGTGCTATGTGCTCCCGCACATATTGTTGAAAAAATGGTACGAAGTGCAATCTATGGATGTTCAGTGTGCATAACAGCGATTTGAAAATATTAAAATCGCATCAGTCTGATTCGCACACACACAGGCTAGATAGGAAACTCATCAGTTAGATTTTATTTGTGTTATTTTAATTGATGAAGGTATGGTATACCTCATCTACGAATTTTTATATGCACTTGGTATATAATACACTATTTGGTGCGGTCCGCGGGTCAACCTTTCGCAGTCCGTAAACGGAACGTGGTCCGCTTACGGACTAGAGGTTCCAGGTGTTCATGCTTCCATTGATAACAGTTTTCCAAAATGTAGCGATATCTTCAAAAAATTATTCGAATACCTAATCCAAACAAAATGAGGAACTTAATGAAATTTCCCTTTATTTACAAAATATACAAAATTCGTGAATTGATAAATTCAAACCACGCTGGGGAATCTCACATAATTCGATGTTGAGTAAGCGGAAGAGAAATATGGGGACGGAATAACATAAGGAGAAGCAGCTCGAAATGCAGAATAAGCAACAGGTGCAGCGGTGAAGGGAGATCTAAGGGAAACAGCTGGAGTTACACCTGGAAGTGCTGCATACGGGGAAGCTAAGATATTATTGTTCACAAGTGCAGCAGTTGGAGCAACAGGAACGATACGATTTCCAGATGGAGCTGATGAAGGTACTGAAAGTCTAGCGTTGTTACCAGCAGCAGGCAGATTGTTCAGTGATGCAGAGGCAGTTTTGGTGGAGCTGGGTGCTTCACGAATCCCGGCCTGAGTTATTTTGAAATCTGCTGAAGACCGTGCTCTAGGTACTTCAGTGGAACTCTCTTCCGTATTTCTGCTGGATGGAGTTGAGGGGGCTTTCGATTCCACATTAGCTGATCTTTCGGCAGCAACGATGGGCGTTTCAGCAAGCAACGTTGTAGGTCTTGATACTAGCGGGGCAGCTTTGGTGATGAGCGGAGCCTCTCTGAACGGAGAGACTAAACCGTTATAGTTTCGGGAAATCACTTGATAGCTCTGGGCAGTTACAACAGCCGGAGCTACTGCTGGAGATACTGCTACGTGTTGTAGGCTCGGGTCAGCAGACACAGATATGATGGCAACGGCCAAGACTGAAACCTGCAATTGGAGAATATATTCAGAAACTACTCAGTTTGAGACATTTGACTATGGTAGATATACAGGGTGAGTCACGAGTAACAAAATGTTCCCTGAACGCCGGACGAACAACATTTTCAATGACTTTTTTATAATACGAGTATGCAAATCTCTTGTGAACATATTTTGTAATCATTTTCGAGAAAGTTATGTTATAATAAATGAAATAACACTATTTTTATTCCATTTTCGAATTCTACAATGGGGGGACTTTTATCATAATCAAACAGACTAAATGAATTTAATCTACAGTTATTCAAATCCAACGCTGATTCAGCACAGGCACCACTCTTAGATCACTTTGAGGATTTTTTATGTTGAACAGTGAAGTTTGAGGTGTACTGAGTTGAACCTCGAAACGATGAGCAGCCACAGTCCGACGCGTATTTTTGATATGTACGGCTCTTGATGGAATCAAATTACCAAGTCACTTGAACACTTTCCGTGGAAGTATCTATAAAAGAGAGACGAATCTCCAACCTTTTTTCGATGTTTTAGAATTTTAGAATATCAGGGTTGCAAGAAGTGATATTCTCGTCTCCAATCCAGCAGCTTCAGGGTATGCTTAAGGGGCCGTACATGAGAACAATAATCCAAAGAAGGTGCACAGTTTTCTGGTTTGGAACAGTGTTCCAAGCTTTGAAATTCCAGCGACATGATTTTGCCAAGACATAATGGTGTCCATTTTTATCGACAACAAACTCATCGAAGCAGAAAGTGGAAATATCTGACCTGACATTATTATATTTAACCCGTGGCAGGATGTATTAAACTTCCTTCAATATATTATTACTAATAACATGTCATTGTGACCAATTATTCACTGGTGACATGTGATAATTTTTTTTCTCCATTATAAAAATGTTCTTCTCCATAATTTTTAAACAATTAGCTGACGATAAACCTATATAGGTTCGAAACATGTACTGACTATTCTTTTTATCGTTCTGAGGGCGATATCAAATTGAGACGACTTTGAGTTTTTCTGCATCGTAAAGTATTATATTTGGTCACAATCATAAACTCATCATCATGTTTGTTTTTTGATCAAAAATGTATTTCCTGATTTACTCAAAGCAAAAAATTGATGTTGAAATCAAATTTTTTGCAACTTTGTTGATAAAAAATGCCCTAACAACATGTTTTCATAAGCAAAGTTACACAATTCAACAAAAAAATAATCATAGAAAACACTGTTTTATGAAAATGTCAAAATAATATCCCCAAATTTCATTCAAGAATATTTATGAGACTGGAATATTCTTTCACTTACTGGAAATACATAATAAAAGAGTATTTGATTAATCATAGGGAAAAATCGATTTACTTACGAATTGAAGCATTTTTGGTTTTGTGGATGCACAAAGGAAAAAACTGTTTGAATGTAATGAGGAAGCCTTCGAGCCGAATATATATACAATTTGGCACTGTTTCACACCCCGTTGATTACAAAACTTTGGGTTGATGCAACGACTTCGTTCTTGACTGTATTTATTAGTGATTTGTATTCTACAGAGGAAAATATTCTCCGGGATATTATAGATTATGTAATTTTTAACATTCGTGAGGATGTGACTGCATTTGGGAATGATTTTTATCAACCTCAATAGCTCGTGCTGCATATTTTTAACGTGAACGTAGTTGGAATACTTAAATTATCAGGTAGAGTTGAATACCTGTCAGTTACCAATGAAGAATTATTTCTTGGTAATGATAAATGAAAGTCAGACTGAATAATAAAAACAGAAACGTAGTTGGAATACTTAAATTACCAGGTAGAGTTGAATACCTGTCAGTTACCAATGAAGAATTATTTCTTGGTAAAGATAAATGAAAGTCAGACTGACTGAATAATAATAACAGCCATAACATCTGATGAGAAATATATTTTATTCAAATAAGTTAGACATCAAATAGGTCTGAACTAGGAAAATGTATATTTCGACATTGAATTTTGAAATATTTCTCTCTTCCAACCTACACCGTAGGTTTTGGCTGATACCACGCTGGATATTGAACTATATCCGAGAGACATTTAAGATACCTCACGCAGATGATAAATAGATGAATAGACATACATTTATTGATCATACACCAATTTACAATGGATTGATAAGTCAAAACAGAACAATGTTAAAATAATAGAACAATAAAATACTTTAAAAATATTTTCAAACCAAGCAATATTGAAAGTGGGTAGTACACAGTGAACTGTTCATTGAAAGTCCGAAATGGATTCTGAAATACTATAAAATGCCCTAGATAACAGAAAACATTCCAATTTTGTTTTGAATCTGAATAGGTTTGGCTGATTCTTCAAGTCATTATGTAGCATGTTAAAAAAGTTTGCCGCAACATATTTTGTCGATTTTTTATAGTTCGAGTAGTTGACAATTTCCAATCTGATTTGATTTCTTTGACGGGTTGGGTACTGGTGGACATCCGCATTCTCAATAAAATGGTTTTTATGAATGTAGGCAAATACCAATAATTTATACAAATAGATACTCGTGAATTCCAATATTCTTTTTTCTTTGAAAACATCTCTGCAAGATTCTCGAAAACCTAAGTGGAGTGTCAATCGAATGATTCTTTTCTGTGCCATGAAGACTCTGCTTCTGCAAGTAGCAGGACCATAAACTATGATATTATGACTGATAGAAGAATATACCAATGCATAGTAAACGCTTATGAGACCTTCTTCAGTTAAACAGCTCTTTGAATTTCTCAACGCAAAAATAGTTATTTATGTATCAAGGGAATTAGGAGGGCCTTAATTACCGATGGCAAAGTTTGCGTCCCGAGGGCCTCTGGCCCGANTTTTCATTTCTATTTATTTTTACTTGTGAAAGGTAGAGGGAATTATAAAATCTATAATGTCCCAAGGGAGTTATGACCCTCTTTATTGATAGCGTAACTATGACGATATAAGCTTATAATATCCCGGTCAGAAATAAAGTTCTTAATTCAAGGTGCATTTGTCCTATTTGAGGTTTTCGTCAACGATTGTACCCAAGAACTTGGAGTTACTTTGAAATGTGATTGATGAACTGTTTTTATATAGGTTTTCACTGATAACTCTTCCCGTAGTCGATATGTGGAATTGAATAGCAACAGTCTTCGAGTTCTTCTGACACCACTGGTCGAATTGATTTAATACGGTTTTTGTTTTAGCTATTAGTTCACCCCTGTTAGGACCGGATATCAAAATTGAGGAATCATCTGCGAACAAGTAGACCTTTCCATATCTCACATATTCGGGAAACAAAAAAATCAGTGGACCCAGGACGCGATCCTGAGGAACTCCTGAGTCCACGAAGAATTCATCAAATGTTTTATCATTCACTCTAACTATCAGTTTCCTCCCTTCTAGGAATGAACGGAAACACTCCTCAATTTTTCCACGTATACCGAGTGCATACATTTTTGTCAAGATGAAATTTAAGAGTATTGAAGGCACAGGATAAGCCAAAAAACAATCCAATGTTTCTCGTTCATCCAACAGCGGGACCATGCTGAAGTTATTCAAGTAGATCACCTGCAGACCGCGGTTTCGAGGTATTACCTCTCGTCAGTGCAGGAAAGGTCCGATCAAAACAAAAGTGCCTGGATCTTGAATAATTTCAACGCGACTCGTTTGCATGTATGAAACCTTCGTCTAAGAGAAATACTGTTAACTAGTAACAGCTCCATCTCGTGAATGAAGTTCCAATCGGGAAAGAAGCATCTGCAAGACAAATTTCGATAGGGTATCTTGCAAATCTGTCTGTCGGATATAATTTGATGTCCAGCGTGCTATTAGTCGGAGAAGTAGTTGTTTTTCGGCAGGTATTTACCAGAACCTACTGTATTTTGAAAAAGAAAGGAATTTCTGGCAAAAACATAACAATCTGCACTGGTAGTAGACAAGGCCTATTAACCTTGAACAGACAACGTGTTTCGTCAGGGCTAGTACTGGAGTGCCACCAAGATATAGTCAAAGCCTCGGTAGATAATAACATTATCCTGAGGTGGGTTAAAGGGCACGACAGGAGTGAAGGTGATCGCATTGCCGACCCTTTAGCCAAGGAAGTGGCTGGACTGAGAATTCTAGGACCCAGTGGCACCTACGGCCTGACGACTTCGGACAATTGCGGAACATCCATGCTCAATCCCTAAAGTGATGGGATGGAATCGAAGGATGCAATCTTGCCAGGATCACCCTTGGGGATCCTGGGAAACTGGCACCGAATGAATATCTGGCGATGACCAGGAAAAATCTACGCTCAATAGTAGGATTTCTGACTGGCCACTGTCAACTAAGGCAACACCTCTCGATGACCTAGAAGGACAACTCCTCAGGAGGATGTACAATAGATCACATGTGGCCTAAGTGCTGTGGGCCAACACTCACCCTCCCTAATCCACAGATACAGATTCATTTTATAAATAATTCAGGCTTGAATTTTGTTAGTCCTTCGAATATAGCGTTATGAAGTCAACTGATGCAATACGAAAGAAAGCCGATGATGGAGTTGAGATGGTTTATTTCGTTTTTGAATGCCAGCTAATAGGCTGAATTCCTTTTTGTTTCTGGACTATAGAACGAATAGCATTTGAAAAATAGTTTTTTTGTTGATGGAAGTTTTATTACAATGATATCTTTTGATTCTCAATATTCTTCCAATTTTCATATTATTATAATTCGCGTTCGACACTAACAAACCTAATAAGGAAAAATGGATGAAATATACTATCGTTCATTCGGTAACTTTTCGTTATGTTATATTATTTGACTAGGTATGCACTTCAAATATGCAAACCGCAGAAAAGTGTTTCTAATTCATTAGCTGTCATCAGTACGGCCTAGCCAAGTGCAAGGTTAGGTAGCACCTGACTGCAGAAACAACACGAATACACACAGTCATCGAAAGAAGTAGTACTTTGTGATTTCGGTCAGGCCATCTCGGGTTAGAGGTTTCACTTGAGTCACCACGAGGCAGCCTTAGCTACCTGCGTGATATCGTAGTCGAGTATTCAATATGAATGATGATTCAGTCACTTGATTTGATATAATCGAAAGCAGGAAAATCTCATGGACGAAGTAAGCACTTGCCTTTACGATACTGTCAATTCACAGTGACTTAGACATGAAAAGTCTACAAAATGTTTTTTATGACCAGACCATACCACATACTGGAGACTGTATATTCACAGTCGACGCTTGTGAGAAGGCGAATTGTGACCTTTGTTAAGACGAGAGCGACCCGACCTGGACAGTGGGCAGATTGAGACCCCGGCATCAAGTCACAAATCCTCACAGCATGTGAGGAGTAGGCAGATTATAGTGTAGTCATAGCTTTTTGAATATGGCTTTGAAGTCGAAGCCGAAACGTCGAACAACTGAAAACACCAGACCAAACTTCAGATTATAGGTCTTCTAACTGAAACCACGAACGTGCGGTTGGCTTCTGTTGATAACTCCGTGTAAATGTGATGTTTTCCATTTTTGGCAACCATGTGTTGCCCATCTTTGCACTTGGCTGCACCGCGCAGATGAGGTCAATAGCCAGAAGCACGTGTCTGCGGTTTACCTCTCCATTTGAGTGTTATATTCGTGAAGTTTTCCTTTTTTTATGTATTTCAATATTTTATGAGTGCTCCGGTCTTTGATTTTCCCTGCTTTCGATCCTTGAACTTGAGATATTCATTGTAGATTTTTGAACAGAGTGGAAATCCTGATGAATTTCTCATTTTGGAGAAAACAAATTAGTTATCATCACCAAAGTGTATTTAGACATTATTGAAATTGAGCTGTGTTTTACTCTGTCAGATTTATTTATTTTACGAGAATCACATATCAAAAGATATACATTATCGCCGTCAGCTACTTTAGAAATTGCGTAAACAGTTTTTCTATTGTCTTTTAGGAACACTGTCGTAGACGTCATTTCTCCAGTATTTTTAATATTTTGTGCAAAGTTACCATTGTCTTGGATTCAGTTTTTAGTTTAATCTACTTAGTGAGTACAACTGCAAATATAATTACCATTTTTTCATCATATCATCACAATTGCCACTAAACGAGTGGAATGTTGAATGATATTTCATTGATAGAAACCATTATATGTTTCTTGTATTTCAACGAGAGAGGAGATTCTACTAGTTACCAAATTAAAATGCTATAATTTTTTCATTACTAACAGTTTCCAATAGTGCAAAATCAATTTCAATCAACCTTTAGATACTTATCATTTATATCTCGTTTGTCGTTGTGGCCAACCTACTTCCTTCACGTATTTTTCTCTTAACTGGTTTCTTTTTCTGAATTGTTTCAATCTACATCAGAATATCGAGAAAAATACACACTCAACCGCTATAATTATCAAGTTCTTCTGCTAAGCAGAAATAAGCATACTCGTATGTTGAAGTCACAGATATCCCAAAAATTTGGGATTACTGC